AGGAAAATTGTCCGTTGGTGTGACATGAATTGGAATCAGCAACAAAGTTTCCAGTTGCACACGGTGTACCATCATACTTGCAAACATCGATAATGATGGCAAAAATTTTCTGTTCGCCACGAACGTAGACATAGTCGGCCCTATATACGTATATCACCTTATTTTCAATTATTTCATTTAACTTGGAATATTCAATGTCACCTGACGAATATTTGAGACCATGGAAAATTCTCCAAGTACGCAGCAGTTTTCTTACGTCTTTATTATGTAATGAAGAAAAAAGTTTCGGAGGTGTAAAGATGTAATGACTCCTCTTGAAACCAATTTCGATACATAGGTAGTTCTTTAGGTACGAATAATCCATCAACTGTAAAGCCTTGAATGTCAACAAAGGCGATCCACATAATGTCTGATGCGGAACTGAGAGTCCTGTGTTGCTTACGAGATGGCTTTAATAACTTCGATGAGGGGAAAGTACTCCATTAAGCAGTCATGTATAATGATGCAGTAGGCCTTGGTGTTGGCTGGAAAGCCAGCATCGGCTTCGATATCCAATCTAACATCAACAGTTGACGGTTTCATGGTCTCCTCTTGTCTGGAACAATCAATAACAAACAAAGCACGATTTTTAAACGAGGCATAATCCATAAGACATCTCCTTAGAGAAGAAGTTGTATAGCCGATTTGAAAGTCGCTATAGTTGAAATGAGCATGAGTAAAGTGACTGTTTGCAAAGTCCAATTGCATACGTTCGTTGGGATAGTATTCACCATTCAAAGATACTCGAATACTAGCAGCATTCACGTGATCAGACAGGGTCGGGTCTGAGGTAGCGACGTCACGTTTACCAGTTTGGAAACATACTATAATGAAACGTGGTCTTTCGATTGCGGTGCTAGTTTTAACTGACCATATTTCTCTTCTCGCAACAGATCGAGATTTTCTGACAGCTACGGGTGTGTTCTCATCGTCAAAGACCCAAACTTTGTTTTGAGCCTTGGTCGGCAAATCGTAATAATAGAGCCAAGTCTCGTCACATGTCACGATGCTGTTCACATACTGAGTTTGCTCCTTTTCAAAAATGTTCACCATTTTCCGGCACCAAGTCGTACGACAAGCCTTCTGCTCTTCCGTCAGACTATGCGGTACCCAGAGAGAACAAAGTTTCCTAACGTAAATGGTCGCGCAGAATTAGATGAATTGCTGGTGCATGAAGGTGTCAAGTCTGCTCTATCTGTTGGTATGTCACTCTGCGGTCTTCGTCAAGCATTTTCCTCACAGCAGTAATGTTTTCCTGTGTTACTGATGTTCGCTGCATTCCTTCGTTCTCAGCGTCCTCCAGAATAAAATTGTCCCTTTGGAATTCCCTCTAGCCCCTGATCATAGTCGTACGATGTGGACAATCATTTTTTAATGCAAGCTTCATTTCTTCTAAGCTCTGGTCTATGCTTAAACCACGCGTAAGGTTATATCGCAAAACTGCCCTTATCTCACTATGTGACCACGATGCCATAGTCCGCACTTTATTCTTTCAATACGAATGAACAACTAAATCGACCGACGTGCTGCTGGCGGCTACTATGCACTCATGGACATGCCCCAACACTCAGTAACATGCAGCCTCCTGCGTCCGTTTGTTAAGTTGTAACGCTTCCTTTCCGCAAAAAGTCCAGAAAAGATGGAATGCAATGAAGATTCCAACTTTTCTGCACAATCACAGAAAGGGGGTTACAATTAGCTTCCGGTAGCTCAGTCGGTGGCATGAAGACATCTACAGGCGTGTAGCTGTGTGTCGACCATGGCATGGCTAGAGGATAGAAGAACAAACAGAACACAAAAATTTAACAGATTTTATTTAACAAAAAAAAGGCATTTTCATTACATTACAATTTTACAAAAATAACAAAATAAGTTTTACATCTTTGGCGCTGCTATAACGCTATCGACTTATCTTTCGCTGGTCCATTTTTACTCGACTGAAGCCAGGATGGCCAGGGGCTTGAAGGGGAGGTCCCAGTTATGAGGGGTGACCTCCATATAGTGGCTTCACAACCAGTTGTAGGCGAAGTTAAAGGCGATGGCGCTGCCAAGGTACATGCATGGGTGAAAATATTGGCCAAGGCTAGGCAAAGTGAAAGGGAAAGAGAAAGGGGGTGGCCCCAATCATTTTTGTCCTATACGGACACACATTCTAGAAGATTCTAGCACATGGTGCTATATAACCTTGTGCTACAGAGAAGAATTTTCTAGCCGTTGTTCGATCGGCGGCTCAAGTGAAAAGAAAGCGCGAGGAAGATCAGATCAGGAATTCCGCATCAAGCGCTCCAAGCGGAAAATTTTCCAAGCAAAAAAGCTAGAAATGGGATTAATGAAATGATAATCGAGAAGTGATTTAATAAATACGATCGGACGGTGAAACCGTTACACTCGCCCCAACTTAACCAAAAAAAAAAAATCGAAGAAGCATTTAAGAATTTTTTTTTTTTTTACTAGGAAATTGAAAGTTATCACGGAAGGACAAATGTACAACCATTCGACCAGATAACAAGTAGTAAAAGTAAGGTAGAAACAAAAATGTTAGAAGAGAATTGGAAGAAAAAGGGATAGCCTCAAGTCTACCAAACAAGAGGGATGGTTATAGCACCAACTCGCTGAAAAGTACAGTGAAGTTGCACTTAAAAAAAAAACTATCATCATTATGATGAAAAACCCAAAACATAAAACATCGTCATACCTAAGACGAGAAAAATAATAAAACCAAAAGCTTCAGAAGTAGTAGTCCAAGCACGAATCACAATGGCATCCAAAATGCACGACTGACTAGTAAAAACTTCAAAACTAAGTAAGTACCTAAACCATAAGAGGTACTAAAAAAAATAATAATCTTTCTCAAAACAATTGCCAGATTATCTCGCAATACTCCAAACCCAAAAAGATTATGATCTACAGTGATATTTTAAACCAATATCCAATATAAAAAAAAAACTGTGCATTACTATTTTCAAAATATGAAAATCAAAAGAAATTAACAAATTCTATTAAGAATTCCAGTTATATAACAAAACAATTTACAAGTACTAAACCAATGAAAACTTGATCACGAAGGTATTTTAATCAAAAAAGATGTTAACTAATTGCAGTTCTGATTCCACAAAAAAATTGTCGGGCGCCAGCAGTCTGTAAGACTACAAAATAATTCAAAATATTTTCAGAGAATTAAAGTATATAAGGGACAGTCATGAAATATTGAAGTAAGATTTTCAAAGTCAAAATATAGCTTAAGTTCAATCAATGAACTAAAATTCAAGAGTAAGTTCAATCAAAATTTTCGGGTCATGTGACAACATAAGAACCAGACCAAAAAAAAAATTTGAAGTACAATATAGAAAAGAGCAAAATAAATTTCCAAAAAAAAAACTAAGTGCAACACAAGTGCAACTGTAAATCTAATAGTATTAAAATCATAAAGTGAAAGGAAATATTAAAGCTATATGAGCATGATTTTATAAAGGGTTCTCAAAAAAATTTAAAAGTAAGCAAAATATTAAAAGTTTCATGAGTAATAAATGAGAAACGAAGTGAGCATATGTAAAATGCAAAATAGCGAAACGAAAATCACAAGATATTTTATTAAATCATGATACATGAGTGTAATGCCGCAAGCAAAAATTGTATGCAAAAGACTACGATATATGTAGGTGCAAAATTGGAGTTATAAAAAAAATCTAGTGAACAAGAAATAGAAATAAATATGATAGGTAAGAATTCGAATTTTGATTTAAAGCAAAAATATGAGAGAAAGACAACTTTCTAGGGTCACCATAGGTGCATTCCAAAGCCCTAGACAAGAATGTTTATAGTCTATGAAATATTCTCATGTAGATCACTGATATCATCAGCGCACTTCAAAGTCTACACTGAAAATAACCATATCATTGTAAAATGAAAGTTAAGTTCAAATATGAAATATTACAAGATTAGAAAAACTATAATAATTTACCAGTGTAAAGTATGAAAAGAGAATTACTATACTGAATCTATAAGAATTGGCGATTACTTCAAGTCAAGACAGAAATTGAAAGAAATAAGAAGCCGGAAAAAAGATTATGAGAGCAGACTATCAAAACAAATGCAATAATGCAAAAGCAAAATCACCAGATATTTCAAAATCTATAGCGAAACATGAAAGTAATGTCGCAAACAAGCTCAAGACTTAGCAATACGCACAAATGTGCACAAAGGCTGAAAGCATATATGAAAAATCTCAAGAAGGAATTGACAATTACTTCAAATCAAATTGAACTGATTGAATTGAACTGAGACATAAATAACTATATCAAAAGTGAGTTTTACTTATACGCCAGAGGTTTCAAGAGTTTATCAATACGCACAGATTTGCAACTAGGCGGAAAGCATATATGACAAGTCTCAAGAAGAAAATAAAATGCATATGAAGAAAACACTTTCAATTAAAGAAACTGTGGATAGTACAAGACCCTCAAGGCATACATCGCAACGAATCTATGTAACTATCCAGACTACAAAGTACTGTCAAAGTTCAAAACCACTCAAAAATATGTAAACAAACATCAAAAGTTTGAACCAAAAATCAATGTAAGTCTGTGCTCTCGAAGAAAGTTATAATGAATTCAAAAAGAGGATACTATCAAAAACTTCAAAAGTAATAGACTTCAAAAATAGAAGTACGTAAGTATGTAAAGGAAATTCAGAAAATATACGCATAAAAACATTATAAAATATTATACACAGTATTTGTCACATGATTTAGATCGGGAATGCAACTTAAATTTTGAGTACACTCAGAAAAATGAAATATTCAAAAGATGAAGTATACACATTAAATTGGAATCAGAAAAATAATGATTACTTGTAAATTTTGTACATGGTGGACTGACGTAATGGTTCAAAAGGTTGAAAGAACAACGATGACTAATGTCCAAAGTAAACATTCAACTGCCTTTTACAGTAAATGAGCTTAACAATTATCAAAGGAAATTCTTATCCGTTCGCATTTGTACTAGGAAATAAACATAGGAAAACCTACTCGCTCCAATGTACAGATCGAAAAACTCGCCCCCTTCGATTGAGCGGAAATATGTATTGGACAAATTGTAATATTTCAAAAGGTTGAAGGATCAACGATGTTAAATGTCCAAAGTAAACATTCAGCTGCCTCTTACAGCAAATAAGTTTATTCATTATCAAAGGAAATTCTTCTCCGTTCGCATCTGTACTATGAAATAAATATAGGAAAACCTACTCGCTCCAATGTACAGATCGAAAAACTCGCCCCCTTCGATTGAGCGAAAATATGAGTATTGGACTGGTTGTAATATTTCAAAAGGTTGAAGGATCAACGATGTTAAACGTCCAAAGTAAACAATCAGCTGCCTCTTACAGCAAATAAGTTTAATCATTATCAAAGGAAATTCTTCTCCGTTCGCATCTGTACTAGGAAATAAATATAGGAAAACCTACTCGCTCCAATGTACAGATCGAAAAACTCGCCCCCTTTGATTGAGCGGAAATATGAGTATTGGACTGATTGTAATATTTCAAAAGGTTGAAGGATCAACGATGTTAAATGTCCAAAGTAAACATTCAGCTGCCTCTTACAGCAAATAAGTTTAATCATTATCAAAGGAAATTCTTCTCCGTTCGCATCTGTACTTGGAAATAAACATAGGAAAACCTACTCGCTCCAATGTACAGACCGAAAAACTCGCCCCCTTCGATTGAGCGGAAATATGTATTGGACTGATTGTAATATTTCAAAAGGTTGAAGGATCAACGATGTTAAATGTCCAAAGTAAACATTCAGCTGCCTCTTACAGCAAATAAGTTTAATCATTATCAAAAGAAATTCTTGTCCGTTCGCATCTGTACTAGGAAATAAACATAGGAAAACCTACTCGCTCCAATGTACAGACCGAAAAACTCGCCCCCTTTGATTGAGCGGAAATAAAAAGTTAAACACCTGAATACATCGATAAACGACAAGGATCCAAATCACTATAAAAAACTAACAATACAAACAAAAAGTTTCAATACAAAAACATGAGCAGCCGAATCTTAAAAAAAATTATTTTATATCTGACATATATTAAAAAAGTACAGAGACGTTCAAGTTCTGTTAATCCAATGGAAAATCAGACACTAATGTTCTAATTTCCCCCAAAGAATATGCCAGATAAAACTATAAAACATTAAAATTATGAAAACTTATGCTCCAAACAAGAGACAAAATTACTACAATAGTTCCCGAGGAACGTATACTATTTCAACAAGTTGAAATTTAATTATCATAAATGAGTATGTGTGTCTTTGTATAGGTAAAAATGATTTAGGAGTCACCCCCCCATTGAAAAGTAGCAAAAAATATAGTCAAGAAAAACATCATTTGTTTCTTGAAAAAAAAAGAAAGGTAAGTATCAAGGTACTATGTCCAAGTGTCAATACTTGAAAAAAAGTAAACCGCCAAAATATACGAAAAATTATGAATATCAATTTCATATAATTCAGAAAAATGGATAAATCGCAAAATGATTTACTCCAGATAACTCTAGTCAGTAGATTATTGCCATCAGAATGAAAACAAATGATCAAAAGTTCAAGTACAGTCAAAAATTCAAAAAGTAAATACATTTGGGGAAGGCAAAAATAATTTTGAAAGTAAATTTTCTACGTACCAAACATCATGAGAGCTATATCAGTACACCAGAGATCCAACAATTAGGCTATATATGCATACATGAAAAGTCTCAAGAAATCAAAAAAACTGCACATGAAGAAATACTTTCAAAAACTAAGAGGTTAGTGATCAAAAATGAAAAGCATATAAGAATATGTAAACTATCAACAACAATAGTCACAACCTCAATCAAAAGTTTGATGATATTCGACAAAAATGCTGGGAAACCTAAAGTCCCCAGACTATCAATATTCAACAAAAAATTATCAAAATATCATCAATCTCAAAACTACAATGAGAAAAAAGTTATAACTGTCCCCAGCAGTAAAAAAAAACTATAGTAGTATGTGATAAAAAAAAATTCTGGCAATGATCTCGCTGACTACTAAACAAGATAATTTAAAAGTTAATAGTATGCCTATGAAATAAACAGGTGGAAAAATTTTAATCTTCTGATAAAAAATTTTAAACATTAAGCAAAAAGTAAGGATGATTAAGGAATTAGAAATTTGAGTACCAAAAGCAATTAAAAATAGAAATGCTGCCAAAGATTGTAAAGAGTTTTGAAAACTATGTTCTGTCTGCCAATCTTCCACTAGCAAACCACTTGTCGACAAAGCCAAACACCTATCGAAGCCTCACGTTGCGGGTGCCAATTTATGTAACGCTTCCTTTCCGCAAAAAGTCCAGAAAAGATGGAATGCAATGAAGATTCCAACTTTTCTGCACAATCACAGAAAGGGGGTTACAATTAGCTTCCGGTAGCTCAATCGGTGGCATGAAGACATCTACAGGCGTGTAGCTGTGTGTCGACCATGGCATGGCTAGAGGATAGAAGAACAAACAGAACACAAAAATTTAACAGATTTTATTTAACAAAAAAAAAGGCATTTTCATTACATTACAATTTTACAAAAATAACAAAATAAGTTTTACATCTTTGGCGCTGCTATAACGCTATCGACTTATCTTTCGCTGGTCCATTTTTACTCGACTGAAGCCAGGATGGCCAGGGGCTTGAAGGGGAGGTCCCAGTTATGAGGGGTGACCTCCATATAGTGGCTTCACAACCAGTTGTAGGCGAAGTTAAAGGCGATGGCGCTGCCAAGGTACATGCATGGGTGAAAATATTGGCCAAGGCTAGGCAAAGTGAAAGGGAAAGAGAAAGGGGGTGGCCCCAATCATTTTTGTCCTATACGGACACACATTCTAGAAGATTCTAGCACATGGTGCTATATAACCTTGTGCTACAGAGAAGAATTTTCTAGCCGTTGTTCGATCGGCGGCTCAAGTGAAAAGAAAGCGCGAGGAAGATCGCAGATCAGGAACTCCGCATCAAGCGCTCCAAGCGGAAAATTTTCCAAGCAAAAAAGCTAGAGATGGGATTAATGAAATGATAATCGAGAAGTGATTTAATAAATACGATCGGACGGTGAAACCGTTACAAAGTGATATGGCAAAACTGTTATAGTACCCGTAGTATTTTATTCATTAATGAAATTTGTAATGTCTTAGATTATTGTAAAATTCAGATATTTGAAGATGGTACATTAATATACTGCCCTATCAAGAAAGACCCCCGTATCTCCACTATCATAGCAATCATTTTAAGAGAAAAATATGCAATACTAGGCCATAGCTATTAGTTATGCGATGCACGGGCTGAGAAAGCAACGCATTATCTTAAGAATAATTAGTTAAAGCCACATAGGTATAATTCAAATTCGGCTTATGCTTGGTTTTAACTACGTAATTATGATGAAAATTTATATCTGCGCCAAGGTTAGATTAGGTTAAGTTTCTTGTGAGTGCATCAATAACGATCGTCCACTGCGACTTTTTGGTCTATTGTGGCTTGCACCTATTTATAAATTTCCCCCAGTAGCTCCGACCTCCTGAGGAAGTCGATTAACTTGTTTGGAGAAATATCCTTCAGGTTTTCTGCTTGGAGAACTACGTCTCCAAGTATGTTTTACCTGATTCTGGCAATTGCAGGGCATCTGCACAATACATGTCTGACCGTTTCATCTTCCTCGATGCACAGTCTGCACTCAGCGTCCTCCGCCATGCCCAGCCTGCTCATGTGCTGACGCAATTTGTAATGACCAGTGCACAGTCCCACTAGAGCTTTACAGCTATTCCGTCATAAAACATTTAAAAATGTATAATACAGCGTTTTCTCTGGATAAATATGTAGGTAGCATAAATCATGATTATTGGTTTGGTACAAATCAGTTCACCAAAACAAAATCCATGTTACAAGAATTGCTGTGGTTCAATTTCAGAAAGGATTACTTGAATTTAATAAACTAAATAATGATATAAAGGCTACTTGTAATTTAAAGATTTTTAAAAGAAAATTAAGGGACATTAAATCATAGACAGTAAATATTCATAGAGATGCAATTTTGTTTTTCTAAATATCTGTATGTTAAGTAATTGTTGTAGTCTTTTAAAAAACTGTAATTGTAGCAACAAACAAACAAACAATTAACTTGTTTGTAGGTGAACGTAGACAAAACCAGCGAGAACGTCGAATAAATCAACCCGATTTCGACTGATTCAAATCCAGCAGGTTAGCAAAGAACAGGTACCAGTGTACACAGTATTAGAAGAACGCGGTGTCCCCATAAGGAGCGAATTCATTATAGAATGGCCATTCTTGTAGTGGCGTTGTCCCCAACAAGAAGATCGCCAAAAAGAATGCGGCCGAAGCTCTCTTGGTTGAACTTGGCCATTCCACGAGTACATCAAACAACAAACAATGTTGCCCTAAGACAGACAAGGAACCAGAACAAGCAAAGATGCATTGCAATGACGAAGGAAGAAAGGTAACTGTCTACACTGCATATTTAATCAAAAGTCACAGTTGGAAGAATCCTTCAAAAAATGTCCAATTCAGACTAGGTAGAACGAGCAAAGTATACATATTGTTTGTAATTGAAATTGCGTAGTCACCTGTTAGGTTACAACTTAATACTACAAGTTGTTGAAATTTTACATTACGTGTAACTGAATATCTTTTTATCGATAAGTGTTGATAGATTAGTAGTCAGTGTTGCGAAAGGGCATATACCTCAAGGTTGGACTTTTACCTGGACAGTTGTGGGATAATTTTTTTTGTTTCTTTGTGTGATCAGTCCCAATATAAGATTTGTCAACAGAGTTATATACCTAACAAACCAACCAAATTTTTTGATGGATACTGAAAAAGACCAACTTTATCTTTGAATCGTATCTACTTAAATTTTGAATCTGAGAGTTCTTAGGAAATATCTTTACCTTAGTGTTATAAATAGTAATGTTAGGTTATCATTTTAGCGTCATCAGATTCTACTGATGCAGTTCAGTAGGCCTGAAAAAAACTATGAATTTCAAATTGATTGAATTCCAAATATTTTTATTGGGTAAATATGATAATGATGCAGGGTGCGGCAGCATAACTACCTGTTTTTAAAAGGGCTGCTATTCAGGCGGTTGATGTCGTAGTGTAGCGCTAGTGGCCCATTCAAGAGGCAGGACTATAAAAATTTTTACCGACTCAGTTTGGTCGCCATCATGTGTTGGAACAGTGAGCAGTGTGCTTTTGCCGTTGAGACCTACTTTTTCAGCGAATGGAAATCAATTGTTACATGGGTTTTGTTCAAACTGCGAGTGCGACAAAACGAAGAATTGGAGTCCACGGCCCATTAGATCACCTGAAAAGATTGAGGCAGTGAGAGCTTCAATGTTGCGATCACCAGGGCGTTCTGCGCGCAAACATGTGTCTGCCCTTGGACTTTCTGATCGTTTTGTGAGAATTCATTGTAATCTCCATTTTGATCGTTACAAGATAGTAATTGTGTAGAAATCTTCTCATCGTGACTTCAATAAACGCGTATGAGCGTCATTCCTGAGGACGCTATTATTTTTTAGCAATGAAGCTCACTTTCATTTGTGTGTCTCCGACTACAAACAAAAGAGGCGCTACTGGCCTGATACCAATCCTTGAGAATTGCATTAAATTCACATAAAGTCACAGTGTGGGGGTG